AAGGGCGTGAATGGGCGTAGAATGGTTTTTACTACAGAGAATCGTGCAGATGCACATGGCTGGCATTGACACATGCGGATGGATACATGCACACACACACATGCACATTCACACCTGATGCATACACACCCGCGCGCACACGTTCGATCAGTCTGCTTTACATCTATGGAAACATAATTATCTTTTGCTATCGCGAGCGCCATTCCTCTCCCGAGCCAATGCGACGCGGTTGGCTGCGGCGAGTTATCGTATGAAATAAAGTTCGCTTCGTTATTGAACCCGTATATACAGCCAGACTTGACGGTTTTATTTAATCCCGGGTCGCTAGAGGCCGTTTGTTCTTTAATAAAAGTGTTTGTTTTTTCATTTTTATATAAATGGAAAGCCCCTTTTGCTAATTCTTTATTCTACACCGTAATTGACATTCAACAGAAATATTGTTATTTTTATTTAGTTCAAGTTGGGTTTATGCATTGTTTGTCGTTTTTATCGCCTTTCACATATTATTACTCTGAAGTATAGTTAGGAGAAATATTACTTTGAAGTATACATTTGGGAGTTTTTTTTTTTCCGGGAGATTAGCTTCATATAATAAACGATTAATCAATCTATTATATTACGTTACGTGTATTTACGCGAATTTAAGATGGCACGCATGTTTTATCGTAAAGATTAATACATGATGATCGAGAAACGGACGAAAATGAAAGAATCCGCGTTTGGAGAATTCTCGAACTATATTATACGAATGGTAGGCATTAATAGATAAGAATAGATAATATATATATAGAGACAGAGATATATATATATAATTTTCAGCCAGTTTGTTTTACGACTGCGAATCTGATTCATACGCGGCCCGCGCGCTTCTCTCCTCTCGCAACGACGCGCCTCTCTTAGAGAGAGATAGAGAGAAAGCGTAGACCTCGTTCGGTTTGATCTTTAATTATCTGAGCGCAGCGATATAGAGAGAGAATATTACTAATAAATATATGATAGAGATAATAGATTATTTAAATATATAGATATAGTATGAATATGTATAAAACAAACAAACATACACAAACTATCTATATCTTAATCTATCTATCTTATCTTCTATATATCTATCTATCTTATCTCATATATATAATATATAGATATATATATATATATATATAATTATACACCTGTATTAGTCGATATCGCTCGTACCCTTCATGGTCAGTAGATAGATATATAGATAGATATTCAATATATATATATAGATATATATATATATATAGTATATATATATATATATAGATAGATATATATATACAATATGATATATAATTCTTATATATAGATAGATATATATAATAAGATATAGAAATATTCTTCTTTAATCATTCATCTTCTCTTCCTTCTTAACCTCCTTTGACATATTTTCATCTTCTTTTTCCGTTATACCCTCCATGTATAAGTTCAAAGAGATCCGAATTCGAAAACTATGGAATTAGGAACATAGATATTAGATATAATAGACAGAGAAACACACGCGCCTCTTAATTATAGATATAAGTCGTCATGAATACTCACTACACATCAATATTAACGTAGATATATACAATACATCACAATATTTAGTATATAGATATATTATATATATATAGATATAGATAGTAGATAATTTGTAGATAAGATAGATAGTATATAGATATATATAGTATTATAGATATAGATTATATAGAGAGATTAGATATATGATATTAATAGAAAGATATATAAGATATAAAGAGATAAGATACGAGAGAGAGAGAGAGAAAGACCTCGCTCGCACGGCCGTAAATCCACTGAGCTTTTGCTCATTAGCCATTTCTTTATTTCGTTCCTGCGATAATATATATAATATAATATATATTTATATATATATAGTTTGATATATATATATATATATTATATATACTCTGGCGGTTTTGGGGTTTCCTTTTAATTCTCTTTTCTCTCCATACTCTTACTCTCTCTCTTCCTCTCTCTTTCTTTCTCTCCTCTCTCTTACTCTTTTCTCCTCTCTTCTTTATCTTTCTCTCCTCTCTTACTCTTTTCTTCTTTTCTCTTTTCTCTTTTCTCTCTCTTTCTCTTCGTCCTCTCTCTCTCTCTCTCTCTCTCTCTCTTCTCTCTCTCTCTCTCTCTCTCTCTTCCTCTCCTCTCCTCTCCCTCTCCCTCTCCCTCTCCTCTCTCCTCTCCCTCCTCTCTTCTCTCCTCTCTCCTCTCCTCCTCTCTAACCCTCCTCTAATCTCCCTCTCCTCTCCCTTCCCCTCTCTTTTAACTCTATCTCTCCCTTTTGCTTCACACACACAACACACACACACACACACACACACACACACACAACACACACACCACACACACACACAACACACACTCACACACACACACACACACACAACAACCACACACACCACACGCACACACACGCACACGCACAGCACACACAGCACACACACACACACACACGCACACACGCACAGCACAAGCACGCACACGCAACGCACACGCACATACACAAACACACATACACACACACAACACACACACACACACACACACACACACAACACACACACACGCACACGCACACACACACAACACACACACACACACACACACACCACACACACACACACACACACACACACACACACACACACACACACACACACACACACACACACGCGCGACAATGGTTTAGCCGGAGGGAGAAGGGCGACCCTCCTAAAGGGGAGAGACAGAAAGGCAGAATTGGGTGAAGGGGAGAGTGGGGAGGAAGAGAAGGAGGAGGGAGAGTGGGGGATAAGGAGGGGGGGGGTGCAGGTAGCGCGTCCTTGGGTCTCTCAAAGCAACACGTTCTATGGCCGAGATGGAGTGGGGGAAATGGAGTACGAGGTGTAGGGGTGTGTGTGGGGTGGGGTGGGGGGTGTAGGCCAAGATCAAATTGATACGATTTTCAGGTGAAGTGTGCCGATAAACGAGGAGAGTAATGATAAGGTTTAACGGAAGTGTCGGAGTACAGTGACGGCGTATGTGAAGGACACGCATAAAGCAAATATAAACTCATAAGCAATCGCAAAACACACAAATAGACGTAAGCCTATACAGCATACACAGACAGACACACAGACACACAACAGACACACAGACACACACACACACACACACACACACACACACACACACACACACACACACACACACACACACACACACACACACACACACACACACACACACACACACACACACACACTCACACAAACACTCACACATACGCGCCCTCTCTACCTGCCCCCCATGTACACAATGCATACACATCCCCTCCCGCGCTTACATTCACAACCCGTACCTCCACCATGTACCCCCCCCCACCTACACAACAACACAACCTATTCCAACAATTAGTGACACATGATAGTGAGATCGCAGTGCCAGCCATAGGCAACACGCGAGTGGCAGGTGTAAATTAATTTTTTTGATGAAGTCGCACCGCACGCTGGCGGGTGTTCGCCTCTGTGGATGCATAGGCTTATCGCGATGCCCCTCCCTCCCTCTCCCGTATGTTGGGCATTATGTGCAAGCGATAATGGCCCTTCTGTCCGATCCGCTTTGAGATCGGTTTCCTTTGGATGGGTTGTTGTTGTTGTTGCTGCTGCTGTTGTTAATTTATACGTGGTTTTGTCCTTATTCTTTTTTTTTCGTTAATAATTGTAACACTATTAATTTTACCATTATGGTTGGTTCATTACAATTTTATAAATTTATTAATACAAATTACTTTACAGGCACTTAATCTATGAATGTCAGTATAGACTAATTAATTGTCGTTACTGAATGACATGATTATTTAAATATGTTCTGATAAACACCATCACTATGTGTACAAATGTTTGCTTGTATGTATGTTTGTGCGTATGTATGTATGTATGTATGTATTTATGTACAGTATGTACGTTATACATGTACAAATGATATAACCTGTAGGTGTGACCGCCATCATCGTCAATCACTATTATGACTGCCATCATCGCCTGGATTGTGAAGGCGCCTCACCTCCGCTTTTCTTCTCCCCGCCGCCCACCTCTCTTGCGTGGAAGGGGGGAGGGGTGGGTGGGGGTTGGGGCTGGCGGGGCGTTGTTGGAACGCCCCTTTTTTCTCAAGAAGAGGGTCCGAGGGTGTGCTTTTGAGTGCGAGGGGCGAGAGTAAGGAGAGACTGTGCAGGCGAGGTGACGCGTTTCGTAATGCTTATATTTATGTTTTTATTTTTATTTTCTCGTTTTAGGTTGTTAATTTGTTTGTTTTGTGTGTGCGTGTGCGAGTGCTTGCTTGTATGTGCGTGTGCGCGTGCTTGCTTGTATGTGCGTGTGTGTGTTCGTGCAAGTGCGTGTGTATGAGTGTGTGTGTTGGATATTTGATGATTTTATGACTGCCCTTTTCTCTTTGTTTACACGTTAGTCAGTTGGAGGCTCTTTGAGATGTTTACACAATTAAGGAGAGAGCTAATGTTTGTGTTTGATTATCTGCTTGTACCTATGGCTATTTATGAGTCTACAGAGACATAGGAATCCAGCAAGTAGCATTTCATTTATGATTCATATATTATTTCTGCTATCAAATTTAGATATTGATAATTATGCAACTGTCATTTTACGAAGAATGTCACACGACTGCGTCTGAATTGAACTCATTAGATTGATGATTAAATGCATACGGTCTGATTGACATGTTTTGTCTCATACTTCTTGTTTCTCGTCCACAGCATGCAGCAGAGACAGAAAAGAGACAGAATGAAGCAGAAGGAAAGAAATTACTGGGACAAGTCATCCAGTACGGGCGCACTATACAGGTCAGATATTTTTTATTGATTACAATATTTCTAAACATTTTTGCTGTTTTATCTGCTTTCGTTTTACACACACAAACGCGCGCGCGCGCATACGCATGTATTCATTCACACACACACACAACACACACACACACACACACACACACACACACACACACACACACACACACACACACACACACACACACACACACACACATCTCTCTCTCTTCTCTCTCTCTCTCTCTCTTCTCTCTCTTTCTCTTCTCTCTCTCTCTCTCTCTCTCTCTCTCTCTCTCTCTCTCTCTCTCTCTCTCTCACTCTCTCTCTCTCACTCTCACTCTCTCTCTCTCTCTCTCTCTCTCTCTCTCTCTCTCTCTCTCTCTCTCTCTCTCGCGTGCGCGCGCACTTATGTATACATATCCATTTCCATATACATATACGTGTGCGTGTATGTGTATGTGTATATATGTGTGCCCAAGTCTGTCTTTAAATCTCCAGCTTCCGTCACCCTTTCCCTCCTCAGCCTTTCTTCTTCCTCGGGAATTTCATTTCCGCCTCTTACAATATCTCATCCGCCTCATCTAAGTAGCACCTCCAGCCCCCCGCCCTCCTTCCATCCCTCCCCCTCCCCTCCTGGCATCTGCCTCCTCCCTCTCCCGTCCTATCATCTGCCTCCCCCCTCCCCTCCCATCTGCCTCCCCTCCTATCATCTGCTCCCCCTCCCCTCCTATCATCTGCCCCTCATCCCCCCTTAGGTTGCTTCTGTTGAAGTCTTCAAACGCACACTTGCACGTTTACACACGAATATGCGCTGTTGTACACGTGCAGACACTCGCACACGCACACCCTTTCAAATAAGAAAATCAATATCCATAGTCACATCCATATCTATGCAAATGGGCCGGTTAAATCCAGGTCTTGGTTCCATTCGCACCTGAAAGCAGCCAGCCACGTACCCGCACCTGCAAAAAACACGCGCACGCGCGCGCACACACCACACACACCACACACACACGCAGCACACACACACGCACACACACACACACACACACCACACGCACACACCACACACACACACACACCACACACACACACACACACACACACACACACACACACACACACACACACACACACACACACACACACACACACACACACACACACACACACACACACACACACACACACACACACACACACACACACACACACACACACACACACACACACACACACACACACACACACACACACACACACAAGTGCTACGTCTCTTAGATGTAGGGCAAGACAATTTAAATATCCGATGCGACCTGTGGTGGGAAAGCGGTGCGTCTGGAGAGAAAGGCGAGAGAGAGTGCGTGAGCGAGAAGGGTGGAAGAGAACAGGGACAGATGTGGAGAGAGAGACAGAGAGAACACACAGAAACACACACATTTTCATAGACGGGCAAACGCACAGGCAGACAGGCACAGAGAGAGACAACACCGGCGGAGAGAATTAACCCAAGTCAACTCCAGCCCTGAGCGACCGTCGGAAGCCGTCAAGGACCGCTCGTGCGGGGAGGAGAGGCCCGGCGAGAGCTTTGGAGGGGGAGGGGGAGGGGGAGGGAAGGATTGAGAGGGAAGGGGGAAGGAAGAGGAAGGGGATGAGAGGGAATGCCACGGAGAAGGAGGGAAGGTAAAGGAGTTGAAGATGGAGAGCGGGAGAGGGGTATTATATAGGGAAAATAGGAGAGAGAGGGAGGAGAGGGAAGAGGGAGGGAGAGAGGGGGAATAGGGGGTAGGCGAAGTGAAGAAAGATGGGAGAGTGGAAGAATGGAGGGGCGGGCCAGAGGAAGAAGGATAGAAAGAGAGCAAGTTCAACAGAGGGTGAGGAAGAAAAAGGAAAATGAGGGGTGGAGAAATGGGAAGAAATTGGGAGAGATGGAGTGAAGAAAAATGGGTAATTGAGTTTAAGAGCTGAGGAAAAGGAGGAAGATAGGGAGAGTAGGTAAGAGATAGAGGGGGGGAGGAGTAAAACGAAAAGTGGGAGAATAAAAAGGAAGAAAGAAATAGGGAAGAGGCGCATTTGATAGAGAACATGGAAAGGGAAGAGAAGTAAAAAAAAAAAAAAAAAAAATGCAGGGGAGATTAAAAAGAAATATTGAGTGGAAGTTTGGAGCGAAATGTGTAATTTAAGAGATAAAGGGAACCAGACCGGTATAGAAAAGAAGTCAGACACAGGCAGCGGGGAGAGAGATAAAAGGCAGACAGGAAGTAAATACAGAGAGCATGAGCTTGAAGATAATGATAAGGATAAGAGTAAAGGTGAGGGCGAAGGTGAGGATGAGGGTGAAAGAGAGAGAGAAGGGGGAGGGGCACGAACTTAGGTATTCTGGCATTTATGTGTATAATTTTATGTCCTCTTCGCTTGATGAGTTCTTCGAACACTAATTTTCCTTTGCATTAATGACCTACCTGGCACCAGTGCCATCGTAAAGCTGATAATTCATTGTTCCTCCTACCGCAAGTGAACCTTATCGACCTCGGCAAAGGATCCGAGTCCGATGAAGTACCCATAAGGGTCACGAGTCTTCGCTGTCCCTACCTGCTGTTCGGCTTTAGTGACCCGTTACCCTCCCGCCATCTCTCTCTCTTTCTTCCTTCTCCCCACATTCTCTCCCCTCCCCTGTTGGAGTTTCAACTTGGAAGGCTCTCGTGAGGAGCTTCAAGTGGCACTCTAGATTTTCTGACTTTTTTCAGCCTTCGGAATGGGTAGGCCGGTTTGGTTTTCGTTCTTTCTCTCTTTCTTGTCTATATATTTTGTGACTGCTTATAGGAAGGGAATAATGTTAAGGACAGAGAAAGTGAAAAGGAGGAAGGAGCGGTGCAAGCGAGAAGATCAAGAAGCAAATAAGAAAAAAAGAAGAGTAGGAAGAGAAGGAAAAGGAGGAAAAAGGGGGTGGGAGAAGTAAGGAGAGGAGGAGAGAAGTAGTAAAGGAGAAGGAGAAAGAAGGAAGAGGAGGAGGAGGAGGAGAAGGAGAAGGTAAAGTGTGCTTAGCACGCCGGCGTGTTAAATGTTTATGGGTCTTCAAGAACGAGCTCATTTAGAGGACCAGATTTTTAAAGAATAATTTCGCCGAGGGTAAATTCTTCAGCCATTATCTTGAAAGCCAATTTCCCCTTCCCTTTTATTGCTCTCTGGGGATTAGGTTTCATAAGATGATGAAAGATGATGACGATGGTGATTATTAGGATGATAATGGTGATGATGGCCGATCGTCTTGAGCTTTTTCCACTCTCATAGGGAGGCGCACTATGATGATAATGGGGGTAATGGTAATGATGATGGTGATAATAATGGTGCTGAATAACATCAAATTAGGAATGAGAGAGAGAAAACGAGGAGCTCTTGCGCATCTTTTGCAATACTACACTGCTGTCTTCTGCCCATCTCTTTTTTCACTACTTGTTTTTTCGCGTTCTGGTTCTCTCTCTCTCTCTCTCTCTCTCTCTCTTCTCTCTCTCTCCTCTCTCTCTCTCTCTCTCTCTCTCTCTCTCTCTCTCTCTCTCTCTCTCTTTCTCTCTTCTCATTCTCTCTCTCTCTCTCTCTCATTCTCTCTCTCTCTGTATTGCCTTCCCTTCCCGTCTTCCTTTCCTCCCTCCTTCCCTCTTTTCTTTCCTTTCTTCCTTCTCTCCCTCCCTCCCTCCTTCCTCCCTTCCTCCCTCTCTCCCTCCCTCCCTATTCCTCCACCCTATCCCCATCCCTATCCTTCCTTTTACCCACACACCAGTACGAAATGCGAGCCAACAATATAGCGTGCCACGAGAGGTCTTATAAAGCCTCGCAATTTTGCTCCAGTTCTGTGTAATTCATTTGTATCCATAAAGCGCTTTTAACGTGATTCAGCCCCGTCTTCTGCTCTGCCTTGGCCATCTCTCACGGTTCAAGGAGATGCGGGAGGAGATTTGTGGGCGGGGGAAAGAGTGGGTGGGTGGGGAAGGGCTTGGAAGGAAGGAAAAGGGAGGAGGGAGAAGGAAACGGAAGTGGTGAAAGGAGGGTGGGAAGGAAGGAAAAGGGAGGAGGGAGAAGGAAAAGGAAGGGGTGAAATGAGGGTGAGGAAGAAGGAAAAGGGAGGAGGGAGAAGGAAAGGGAAGAAGGGATGGAAGAAATGATCATGTGTTAAAGAGATAGGAATAGGAAGAAAGGATTATGTGGAAATAATATAGAAGGAAAGAGAAAGATCGTGAGGGAGAGAAGGAAAGAGAGAAGGGCAGGGAAAGAGGGAGGAGAAGGAGAAGGAAAGAGAGGAGAAGAAGAGAGAAAGGGAGAAGGGTAGGGAGAGAAGAGAGGAGGAGAGGGAGAAGAAGAGAGGAGAGAGGGAGAGAGAAGAGAGGAGGGAAGGAGAAAGAAAGAGAGAGAGGGAGAGGAGGAGGAAATGGAAGAGAGAGAGAGAGAAAGGAGGAGGAGAGGGAGGGAGAAGGAAAGAGATAGAGAGAAAGATAGAGGTGAAGTTAAACTGAAATGTTTATTTATAGAACAAATTACATACTAGGCAATAGGCTGCGGAAAGATGTCGAAACAACTACCCAATTTAGCCGAGCTTCTTGTGCTTTGGAGAGCTGTCAGTTACACAAGAAGGGCTGCACTATGGCACTCAGTGCTCGCCTTATCAGAGTGGATTATCCAGCAGCAAGGCGGATTTTGCATTATCAATCCATATCGGAAATTAACTGTTTGTCTTGCATTACTGTGTTGGGAAACATAAATTACTCTTGGCCATCAGAGGAATTAGAGAGAGGGGGGAAGGGGGAGAAGAGGGAGAGAAGAGGGAGAAGGGGGAGAGAGAGGGAGAGAAGAGGGGGAGAGAGAGAAGTAAGGAAAGAGAGAGAGGAGAGAAGAAGGGAGAGAGAGGGAGAGAAAGGAGAGAGAGAAGTAGAGAAAGAAGGGGAGAGAGAGGGAGAGAAGAAGGGAGAGAGAGGAGAGAAAGAAGGGAGAGAGAGGAGAGAAGAAGGGAGAGAGAGAAGTAGAGA